AACACATCCATTGTTCAGCCAAAATGCTCGCATTTCTGCTGAATCTATGGGTGTAATATGCAGAGAGCACATAATATTCATTCACGTACCCGCTGTCACGACCGTCTAGCGAGTCGAAATCTATGCAACTATCATGTGTCAATCACGTGTGAACAGTCCTATAGACTGAGGTCCTAGAGCGTCTCTAAGGGATACAGATCCACTGCTGCTATTATTCCCACTGCGGGTTGCCCGAGCTTAGCATTCACGTGCTATTGAGCCGTAAAGTTAGCGAAAAGCAACTTGTTTCGACTTATGTGTCTCTATCAGGTTCCTGTAATTCTGTAAATCTGCAGAATATTTTCGTTTTAGAGTGTTTATATCTCTTAGATCTCTTGCATATATACTTTTACCTCCTGATGGCGCTTTGGGGGTGGGAGATTAAATGTGGGCGTTGTAGCCACATCAGAAATGTCAGAAATGGTCGCGTAAGTGGGCGATAAAAGCGAGTTAAGGCATAATACAGATACTGCAGGTTCTTATAACACGCTATTGCTAAAAAACTACCTTATGATGTGACAATCGGTTTTGTTTTTGCGCGCGTCGATCTATCAGTGCATGAGTGTTAGATTCCACGTGGTTCGCCACCACGGAATATATAGAGACACTAGTATAATAGACTATATATATATATATATAGAGAGAGAGAGATACGCATAGCTAGAGAGAGAACGAGCGAGACAGAGAGATAAGAGAAAGAGAGATATCTTATAGAAGAGAAGACACGAGAGAGAGAGAGAGCTTATATATTAGGAGAGAGAGAGACAGAGCGAAGAGAGAGAGAGCGAGACACGAGAGATAGATAGAGAGAGACTATAATATATACAGAAGAGACGGAGAGAGAGAGAGATATGAGAGAGAGAGAGCGAGATCGAGAAGATAGAGAGAGAGATAGTATTACTATGAGTACAGAGAGAGACAGAGCGAGAGAGGACAAAGACGAGAAGAGAGAGGCATAATAAAAGAGTAGACAGAGAGAGAGAGAGAGATGAGAGAGAGAGAGAGAGAGAGAGGAGAGCGCGACAGAGAGATAGAGAAGGAGATACTAATATCGGAGAGAGCGGACGGAGAGAGTACGAGAGAGACGAGATGAGAGAGAGAGAAGAGAGCGAGAGAGAGAAGAGAGAGGAGAGAGATGAGAGAAGAGAGAATATGTATAGTTAATTATACCGACTAACTAAGTATCTTTATTTTGTTTGCCACTTTGTTCGCAATCGCGATGCGATCAACTATCATAAGAGCATGCACTTACTTGGGAAATCTGCGTGGAATGTAATAACTTCCGTTAGTTCTCTCGTCGAAAGGTAGATACTGATGAAGCTCCTGGCTATTTCGCTGTTATACTGCTGTTGGAGCAAGATAAGGTGCCGCAAGAGCATCGGCTCAGCTATCTGGCTATAGCTTAATACAGTCTAAGAGTAAAACGGGTTATTTTATGGATCATTCGTATACGCAGATACGAAAATTAAACTGCGCCCACGTGTGTGCGTGTGTGCGTATGTTTACATGTTTCATAGCTGTGTGTGTGTGTGTGTGTGTGTGTGTGGTGTGTGTGTGCGGTGTGTGTATTGTGTGGGCGCGCGCGCGCAGTTGCGTGCGTGTGTGTGTGCGCGTTGCGTGTGAGTGTTTACGGTCGTTTCATGTCTGTGTGTTGCGCGCGTGCGTGCATGTGTGCGGTTGGCGCGCCACCCATGTCATATATGGACCCTAGCTGGCAGATTGCTCAGCTGTGCAAGTTGCAGGCAGCAGCAGCAGCACAAGCAGGCAGTCAGCATCAGCAGCAGCAGATCGATGAGAAAGCGCGGACCAGATTGTGCCGGCCGCGCCGCTCGCGCATTCTCCAATGGGTCATTCCGCTTTCGACTGCTTTCTCTGCGGCCGGCGAAATGTAATTCGCCGATTAGTACCGTAATGTCAGCCGAGAATCTGTGCGGACGAGAGCTAATGCTCGTTGTTTCGGCGATTCGCGAGAGGAGAGCGGGGAAAAAAATAGAAGCCGATCGCATCGCTAGACGACGGCAAAGCGCCCGGCGCGCCGACCTCCGTTTATCTCACTCGCTCTGCTCCGCTTCATATTTCGCGCGGGCGACTCGAAAGAGAGGAAAAGATGTTGGGAGGGGGAGGGATAGAAGAGGGTGAATAGAGAGAAAGAGAGAGAGCAGAGAGAGCGAGAGAGGCAGTATGGAAAGAAACATTGAGAAAACACCCCCCCCAAAAAAAAAACCAGCCCGCACACACACACACACACACCACACACACACACCAAACACACATCACACCCGCATACACAGTGATCGCGTACCACCACACACCACCACACACACATAAAATATACATATCTAAATATATAATACCTAGTCGTATATGGCACACTCGATATCGAGTCGTTGTAATGGTTAAATGACTATAAACATCATGGCCAGCGTATGGCTAGCTTTCTCCTCTGCTACGTCTTCTCCGCTCCTTCTGCTTCACACACACACACACAGCTCACACACACCACACACACACCCACCAACACACACAGCCACACCACACACACAGCACACCCACCCCCAAAACACACACCGTCCACAAAACACACACCACACATGCACCACACCACATGGTCCTTGAGTCGCGTATACATCTGTTATGGTAAGAGGGGAACGACTGCAATGCCCACGAAACGGCGGCAATTGTTCCAGGCGTCCGTGGCATACACAGGCTAGAGCTTGCTAACCTCCATCCACGAGCGTCGATGCATCGGCCACATTAAAGGCAGTTAATTCGGCGCTGTGTTTTGAAGATCGATGCCGCCTTTGCCGCACGTCCGCCTCTCTCCAGGCCGGCCATCAATGTTTCTCACTTGCATGCGTTATAGTAACGTCTTGCCCCTGTGAACCGGTGCTGTAGTGACAGAGCCAGCCCCTCCGGTGTGGCGTTACCAATTCCCTCCCTCCGTCTCCTCACTCCGCTAAGCGCACGCGCGACGGTGCACACACGCCCGTGCGCAGACTGTGGTGCTACACGCCCGCGAACACGCACGCCCACGCGTACAAGCGCGTGCCACACAGCCACACGCCACGCACGCACAGCACACTCACACACACACACACACACACACACACACACACCCACCACACACACACACAAACACCACACTTCCCACCCACACTGCCACACCCACACGCACACACCATCTCTTCCTCACTCTCCCCGCACACCCTCCTCTTGCTCTGACCCGCACACCTGCCACACGCGCGCGCGTACACCGGACGCAGTTCACCGCACCATTATGCAATTAAGCGGCGCGCCGCATACATATATACACCGGGCACGAGATGCTCCCCTGCCGTTCAATAGTGTTTTAAAGAGCATTGATATCGGCAAGCCGGAGAGCTGTTTTCCTCCAGAGTCCCATTCATACGCTATTAACACTGACAGATGGTAGCACACAATCAGCGCTGACAAAGTGAGACCCCCGCTATACTAGCAGGGGGGAGTCAGGGGGAGAGGCAGCGGGCGCGCGGGCCCCAGCAGATGCCACTTACACACGGGCGCAGCGCGTGTTGTTGGCCCGGCACAATGAAATCACTGTATTATGATCGGCGATCGCCTCACCGCATTCCTCCATCACAAGGTAACGAGTTGAGAGATTATTCCTGTTATTGTAACGCCCGACTGGGATCGACGGTCGGAGGCACACTTACCTTGCAACGCTCGACCGCGTAGGTTATGTAGATGATAGCAAGCGACGGCGACGGCCCATCCTGAGGGTCGCAGGTAAGGGTAGAAGATCGGATTTGCAGCTTATAACCACCAGGACGAATAACAATGTTGATCTTACTACTATCACCAGAACCGCGACCACGGCTAGCCCACGCTACACCCCTCTACCAACCGTAAAACCACTACTACTACCATCACTGCCAATCTTACCATCATCATCATCATCATCGTCGTCGTCGTTGTTGTCGTCGTTGTCGTTGTCATCATCATCATCATCGTCGTCGTTGTCGTTGTCATCATCATCATCATCATCATCATCATCATCATCATCAACAACAACAAAAACAGCAACAACAACAATAACAGCAGCAGCAGCGGAAGCAGCAGCAACCATCGTCATCGACCGCTGTTTACTCGTCGTCCACCCGTGCTACTCCCGCCACAGCTGTTACCACATCTCAACAATTAATGTAAATAAGCCTTTAAATATATTAAATTAATTGATGTATAAATAAACGAGAATTATTGAAGTAAGCGAAGGAGAAATTCTCTAACCTGTGAATCGCGAATAACAATAACAATATTTTCATATATGAATACACAATATAGAAAGCAGTGCATTACAATTTATTTCTACCTTTCTCACCTTTTTTTTCTACAACATTATTAATATGTCATTAGGACTGTCCCCACGCAAATAGAGTTACGTATTGCTAGATATGAAGCCTCGTAAGACGAGAGCTAACATTAGAGGTAAAAAAAAACTTGGTGTTTACGTGCGGAATTACCGGTGACACCGATGTGCAAAGCAGCACAAATGATACATGACAGAAACAAACCAGAAACCCCGGGGAGCAGCACCGCAGTCGCAGGAAAACCTACACCGACTCGCTCTCTAGGGCGCCCCGGTGCACTATAGGCAAACACGCAACTCAAGCTGGACTCTTTTCATTAAAATTTCATAATGTCTGTCGTATTTGAGTCATGCATTAGCATATCTTTATTGTCTATTAATTTAATGTGCAATCGTTCCTCGTAGGCATCTGTTCTTAACGCGCTTTTGTCAGGATTAATAAAGACCCTCCTATCGCGGCCTATTAACCAATTACGTGCCATCTGACGGCGACCAATCGGAGCGTGAGCTGCGAGGCAGGCACACGACGCATGTGTTTGCCGGGGTAAGTCATAAGGACGGGGCTATCTGCGACACGCTGTGCGCTGTACGACACAAGCAGACGGTGCTTTAATGCCGCGGCTGCTCACAGCAGATTGCCGACGCCTGTCCATCGCGCGACGGCAACACACAGGTGTGCTGTTTTGTCCTCTCCGAGCAGGTTGTTGCTGGTGGCGGTCGTCGTCGTAGCGGGCAGGTGCCTCGCCGTTACTAACGGCAGACGTAATCGGCAGGCGGGAGGTTTAGAACAGCTTCGCAGTCGAACGGACGGACGGACACTGGTCGCGGTCATCCCATTCAGGGATAAAACACTCATATTTTCGTGAAACCCTCCATCAAGCAGGGAATCGACTGAGTGAGTTCATCTCGGGAGAAAAGAGAGGAAGAGAAGAAGACCGGGAAGAAGAAAGGGGAGAGGTTGCCGAGCAGCGAGGCGAACGAACAAGGTAGCAGGTAAGTTGTCAAATTATTTAATATATATCAGATCCGCGCGTTGTCTTATAAAAACCGCGCAGTGGTGGTCGCGTATACCCAGTGCGGGAAAACTCGTAAATAATTGGGACATTAACTCGGGCCTATGATGTTATGACATTTGCGCACGAAGTATTGAGCAACAGCTTTGACATTTTTGTGGACTCGCGACAGTCGTGACTATTAAATTTTGTAGTGTTTTATATCAACGTACAATACCCCTCCCCTCTCGTATGCCGACATGTGCTTCGTGCGACAGCGTGCGGTTTCGGGGCGAGCCAAGTAGCGTGTAGCAATCGATGTACATCGGAAATTTCTCGCATCGCTAAGTTTACGTTAAAAATCAGTAAGTATACGCTCGTTCGATACTCACATTACTGATTCTTAATCTAAACTGACTACCCGCTGAAAGCTATGCATATTGCCACCATAAAATCTATATTAGAAGCGTCTAGAGAGCTGTGGCTGTTGTTTTGATTAGTGCAGACAAGATAATGTTGTTGATGCGACGCAGCCAGATCCACGTTTATATATTATCTACTTGCAAAAACTACGAATATACATTTCTAGATACGTATCTGTAAATTATATAACGGGAATATTATTTTAGCTGATCATCCGTGTCGTTTATACGTACATATAAAATTGGGAGCCCGTTGTCAAAATCATCGTAGAATTATAACTAATATTGTGGCTAAATTAGTTTCTGACAACCGGCTCTTGCTTATGATATTACTGTTCGTTTCCCAAAAGACCCGACGCGATATTTCAACTGCATTTCGAATTATTCGCCACACTCGGTTTAATTATTCCCCCACACTGTCGATAGTCTTTCCGCCAACATTCTCCGTATCTCGTCATGAGCCAGCACCGCGGTCATAGCACGTGGGCACAGCGTGCGAGCGGCCGAAAGCAATTTTTTCACAGCCTGCATATTAATTCCTGCGGCTCTAATCTAATTTAATACATAATTATGACACTAGTCGCAGGGAATTAATTAGATTCATTAATTATTTTTGTTATAAACGAAATGTCGAAGCTCTTTTCCATTCACTCAATATTCGTATAGCCATGACCGAGCCATCGAAACTTGCAAAAGAAGCCACTGGGAATAATGGAATTCACACAATTATAAGTTACAAGCACAACCACAGGCAAATAAAATTCACGGACTATCTATCTATCTGTCTATCTATCTATCTATCTATCTATCTATCTATCTATCTATCTATCTATCTATCTATCTATCTATCTATCTATCTATCTATCTATCTATCTATCTATCTATCTATCTATCTCTATATATATACTATCTATCTATCTATCTATCTATCTATCTATCTATCTATCTATCTATCTATCTATCTATCTATCTATCTCCCTCCCTCCTCCCATGTCGCTCTCCATGTCTTTCTCGCGCGGCGACGACGACGATGATGATGACGATGACGATACCCACGGCGTCGCATCAAATCACTGCATCATCGGAAATCCGCCAATTCAACAGCCGATCACGATCCGCTTTCGTCGCGCGGGAGATACAAAAAAACACACTCACAGCTAAAAAAAATGCTAAAAAGCTCTGGGCAGTGCCTATGATAGCTTTGATGAGTCGGCCTCAGGGACTCATCACCGCCGCCGCCGCCGCCGCTACTGCTGCTGCTGTAGCATATATAATTATATAGATAGACTTAGGAAATCTCTATAGTGGCTGGTGATAATTTGCAAGCGAGGCGCCCGACGGCGCTGTGTTGTGTACGCGAAATCTCTAAAATGTGTACGAAATATGTCATTAATATGTAAATGCG